GCTCGTCTTTCATCAACCTCGCCCACCTCATCAACAAAAAAACACATTTAAAAAAAACAGAAACAACAAAACACTATACTACTGTCTAATGACTTAGGCCAACGTGATGCAAGTGACATACCAATCTGGCTACCCCCAGGGCTAAGTCATGTGCCCTGACATATCGAGCTAAAAAAAAGGTCTGGGTTGGGAAACCTGGTGTCATAGGACCTGTGGACACCTCCTCGACAAAAAATGTAAAAACACAGCTAAATAATGCTAGATACCACTGCCTGGCACCCTGGTGACACAGTGGTGACATAGGGTGCGACTATGTGTTTTTGCGGGCGCTGCTTCCTTGAATACCTCATACATATTTCTATGAATATCATGGTTGTGGCCTGATGACATAGGCCTTAAGAGGAAATGCCAATGTTGGATCAATCTTGATGACATAGGCTTTTGGAATTGGCGTGTATGTCCGACAAGTCCTAAGTTACTAGTCAGTAGTATATATATGTTTGTGCATGTTTGTGAGAATATTGTACTAATAATATCTGTGTATCTAGAAAAAGCTTGTGCAGCCCAACGAATCACCCCGCTAAACGTGAAACACTTCCCGAATCCCACAGCCTGGCAGTCGCCATCTGTGATGCCCGGCGCTTTTTGTAGGTAGTCACCACCTGCGACCGTCACCGCCCGACCGGTACAGAGATGAGAAGTGATGAGAGAATCCATGAAGTGCCAGCCCAGGCGGTGAGCATCAACGAACCCAATCGATCTGCGAAAGAACATACACCGCGGGTAAAAGTGGATGGAGCAACTCCGGGCAAGTAGCCTCCTTCCGAGCCATGCACTCTCACTGGGGAGTTTTGAATCATCATTGAAACATCTTGAACCCATTTCCGCGTCATCAACCTTCACCTGTTCGACGTTTCCGCATAAGGCCCGGCACCGGGTGTCCCTGTTTCCACCCACGCCTCCTCCGCGTTGCCGTGCAAAAGGAGGAACAAGGACCTCTCCTGGCGATGGCGCGATCGTGTGTCGCTGGACGTTACTGGTGACGTTCGATGTGGAGCAGCCAAAAGAATGGTTCTACGTTCAACGTTCGGGCGCTTTGCTGACCAAACCGCTACCCCATGCCACATCTTCATGTATTCACCAAAGAGAATCTCGAAAACAGTTGAAAGTGTCGCGTCGAGTAATTGTAAAGATTGAAGCTAGTTGAACAGCCTTCTTTGAGACGGCAACACTTGGATTGGGTGGTCATTCTTCTTTACTGCATCCCGCAAGCTGGTAACCTGTCGACTATCCAAAGAAACACTCTCAGCAAGCTGTGGCCAAAGGAGGGCCATTGGACCAATGTCCGACGTCCTTCATCCACATGAATCAGCATGACGACCTCCAACACCCGTCTCGTCTTCCGCATGACCGTCACGGGCGACGCGTTCCGACGTGGCTCCCACCGAGGACGTCTGCGCTGTCGAAGCCTTCGCTGGATCTTTTTGGCTTCGCGTCTTGGTCTGCTTCGCTGAGGTCTTGTCCAGTGATCCAAAGGAAGTGAAAAGCACCAAAGAGGGTTCAAACGGTCGATAAAACCTTGGCATTATGGATGTCGATGTACATATAGATATTGGTTCCTGGATAAATGATGGTGGATTGGCAGGCTCAAAGATATGCGAACGTTGTTGGTGATCAAAAAGCCTTTGAGAATTGGTACAGTACAAATATGTACAAATTATCGAAGAACGGTTTTAAGACAATTCCAAGGCGTTGCCTGCAGCTCCAATTTTACCAGAAGAAGAGGATTGCAATGATTGCATCTCAAAACTAACCGAGCCAACTGAAAGGGTTGAAACAAACAAACAAACAAACAAACAAACAAACAAACAAACAAACAAACCAACCAAACCAAACAAACAAACAAACAAACAAACAAACAAACACACAAACAAACAAACAAACAAACACACAAACAAACACACAAACAAACAAACACACAAACAAACAAACAAACAAACACACAACACAACGCAACACAACACAACACAACACAACACTCAACACAAAACAAAACACAACACAAAACACGACACAACAAACACTCCATGTATGGTATATATATAATATGCATAATATATACCAGAAACAGCGGTTTCAGTGATCAATGTACGCATGAAAGGAGTGTCTGGGAATGTTTGGTGTTTGATTTAGCTTAAACCTGACCACAGTGAACGGTGGACATACTTCTCTAGCAAGTGAATCCTCCGTGGTTGAGTTTCTTGCTTGCACAAACAACGGCGTAATATACACACATATATATAATACACATACACATATATATATATAGTAAGAAACACACATATAAAATGTATTAACATGTTATAACATCTACATACCCTGCGAACCAACACCTTGTAAAAATTGTTTGTTTCAATGAACATAGTTTTCTTGTATAAGAATGTAATTTAGTTGTCAAAATTCTGTTGCAGGGCTCTTGGTGTCAAATGTATACGGATGGCTGGACGCTGGTCTTTCGGTTTCGCAGGGAGACCCACAAGGGCTCCATTCTCCCCCTAGGGCTCCAAGCAGCCACCTCAGGTACTTTGACCCCCCAGCTACCACACTAGCTACCTTCGAAACGGAGTTGGAGCCCTAGGGTGGTGGTAACATGTTCAGCCCACAGGGCGTCTTTTGGTGCTGAAGGTTCCCCCTTTGGACCTTGGATGCGGCCACTCCCTGGCCCAGTTGACAGGAGAACGAAGCTCTCGCTCAGCTAGCTGTTCTGAATGGGATTCTTGTTGAGCTTCCTGTTTGTTCCTTTCGAGTTCCTTTCGAACGCATCCGTCCTAGTCGCTCGGCGTGGTTTTGCCTCTTGTCAAGCGGCAAGCTAGGCCATGCTAGGCCTCTGTACCCACCTCTGTACCTGGACATCATGCCATAGGTTAACAACCAACCGAATTAGAACCAATCCTGTGTTGAGTCAATCATGGGTCATGCCACAAAACACAATGATCCATGCTCGAGCGATACCCTATGTGCCAACCGGAAACGAGCTCTCCCTTCTCCTGCAGTTCTCCGTTCGCTTGCAGCCCTGTGACACATTGAAAGCGCATGTCACGGCCGGCATGGATTGACATAGATTAATTCGCATATCCCACGCATGGGGCGGTAAATTGTTTTCAGCCTTCGACCGGGAAAAACGAATGGGCTTGAGAGCATGAACTTTGACACCAACTGGCCTCTCGTCCTGGAGTCAATTTGGCTGATGCAATGATGGCATCGAGGATTATCAGTTCACATGTAATATGTATTTCATGCTATTTCATGGAGACACATGCGATGGAACATCTCCGAGAACCTCCGGATGTTGAGATGTCTTTGGGTCGCTTGCGTCGACCCCCGCGGCGGGGCATCTGGAGACGAAAACAAACAGTTCGTCCCAGCGGTTCATCCCACAGCGACCACCATGGTCGGTCAACCTATAGGTGTGGTTCCAGGGGTTTGGGGCCTTGAGGTGCCATGACCCAGCTGGCCACATGGCCTTCAAGCCAAAAGGATCCATCTCTCAAGGCGCATCATCAGGCACTGCTCAAAGCATCAAATGGCTTTAGCTTGCCTGTGCTTCTGGCTCTGCAGAAATCGACACCTCTGGCTCTGACTCCGGAAGTTCTGTTGATGGCTGCTGGCTGTGTTGCCCTGAGAACTCTGAAAACATCTGACTTTTGGGGGAGAAGAAACATGCTCCCCTCCATGCTCCCCTCCATGGCCACTGTCACATGGCGATGTGTGTTTGTTTCCATATCCCCCACGTCATCGTCGTTTCGACGAGTCCGATGCACTCTCGCTCTGCTTCCGACGTCACGGGTCAAAGCAGAGATGCGATCCCCTTTGGGGGTCCCGATCGCACCGGGACCCCAACTCGGAGTCGACCAAGTAGGGATGAAGGTGCACCTGTCACCTCAACGGCCCCAACTCGTGTCTGGAGAAACGTCTCCTTTCAACAAATCACCTGAAGTGTAAGTGGATAAAACAAGCTAACAAATGGTTTTGGCTACCCAATCTTTGGGCTTATGATTCATATCACGGCTCCCCACTCCCCCAAAATCAAATTCCATGTGAACTGGTCAATCTTCTACCTCGAGCTGCGACAAGGTCTCCAGAATGGAGATCCCGCAGGGATCATGCACGGCTGGTTATTTATTATATAGCGCGAACACTCGTACATCCTTGCATTTGATTGCTTTCTTTGGTGACAAAGATGTCAATTTACAATGAGCAAAGTCTATGTCAAGTGGAGTGAACCACACGGGCTGATGACGAATCGCCCAAACAAGCATCCAGCGCATTAGGAAGCAAAGCAGGATCGAATTCCTTCCTGCACAGCTAAAAGGAACATTGCTGCTACAATATTCTGAAAAAAGGGCGCCAAGCGCGCCAAGCTTGAAATATTTACTTGGTGAGTAGCTGATGAATCTCGTCCATTCATAATATAGAAATGAACAATACCTTCTGCAAAACGCTCTGCTGAACCATCAGCTTCTTGCCGCTTCATGCCCACCAAGTGAGTTCACAGACTCCGGAGCCAGGCCAAGCAACCAAAACGCTCCGATATCGGATCTCCATCTTTCTCGGGGATATGATGGGATATGAGTGACCGATTTCCACCGGAGTCTGAAAAAAAGAACGTCCAGAACCCAACGTCAGCCTTCGGCCCACCGCGCCGCGAAACGCATGAGTTTCTCACGAGAAACCTTTCGGAACGCCCCGGGCGCCGCGTGAAGCGCAAAAACATCGACACGGACGGACACTGCAGGGACAGCACATGTGTCCACCCTGCGGAAGGTCTTCCTCGTCAAAATCCAGTGACCCCCCAAAAGAGACGACAAATAGCAAGTCTACATCAGGAAACTCTTCACGTCATGTGGTTTTGGTTTAAGCAAGCGATGCCAGACCGCTGTTCAGTTTGTCATACACCATCTCACACCTATATCACATTGATTAATGCTCTATGTTCAGTTCACACACCTTCACGGCTTGGCTTGCTAAGTCAACGCTAGGCCACTGGAGTCCAAATGACGACGTGCAAGCCACGGAACGACTATGCTAGACTCTCGACCCTCGTTGCTCCTCATGAAACCACGCTGCTTTCAGTCGACTGACCATTTCCAGCGCGGCCCGTGACAGGCACATCGAGGACGACGAGCGGCGCGGCTCTTCGCCTGGGCGAAGAGTGGCGCGACACCGGGTGAGGTCGTCGTCTACTGGGAGGACGATGTCACTTGTGCCTCTGCCAAAATGTATATTGCCATAAGTAGAGGACATCGTTCAGCAAGAAAATGAAGCTTTAACAAGGTGAGACTCCAAAGACCAGCTGAGGAAAAAGCTGAGGTTGCCATCTGAGGAAATTCGGAGAGATCAGTCTTTGGATGGAACGACATCAAAGCACCGAATTCTATCTCTGGGAGTTCTGCCAGCGAAACACCGTTGCAAACAAACGCAACCCAGCGGAACATGACACCTGGTCATCCACATGTACCGTCTAAGAGACCCGGTTTCGTCCGGAGACGCTGGTTGAAGAAGCGCCGGACCTGGTGGCAGCTTGAAACAACAAACAAAAGCTTATGTAATACGGTAAATACGTAATATATGTTATATAAATTGATTGTCTGACTCTCACTTCAAGCCAGGAGCTCAGCACGGCTTCTTCGATCACGGTTTCTTGGACCGGTCTGGATCCGACCGAAGTGGATCCGATCCGATCCGTCGGGATCCGATCACATCACTGGAAGAGTTGGGTTTCAATGTACCAGCAATAAAGCTACTATAGTAACAAGTGCCACGCTACTAGAAACAAGTGCATCGTTAGTAATAACAAGTGCCTTACTAGTAGTAACAAGAAGCTAGTAGTAACAAGTGCCTTACTATAGTAGTAACAAGTGCCTTACTAGTAGTAACAAGAAGCTAGTAGAAACAATAGTTAAATTAAGTCACAGGTCGCTCGAAATGCCGAACGACTGGAGGAAGGAGGTGCCCGGTGCCCGATCGTCACATCCGGACCGGCCCCTGGATGGGACGAGCTAGAAACCACCCCGTCGAACGTGACTCCTGGTATACTCAATTTCTTACCCTGTAAGACTAGTGCATTTAAGACTTTGCAGTCAGTCAATAGTTGATGTAACTAACTATTCCATACATGGAGTTGTCTGGCAATATCTGGCAGTGTATTCGCATGTATTCCAGTCATATTTGCTGCGTTTGGGATGAGGACTCCGTTCTCAGATGTTCCCACTGTCTACGCCCGGCGCCTCGGCGGAAGGACACCTCCTGCCGAATATCTCTTTTGCCACTTCGTATCTCCTTCCTGGGCAGCCAGGCAAACTGAAAAAATCACTAGCAAACTGATCAGCCATGTCTTATATAGATTGTAAAGCATTGTAAAGCCAACGTCAACAACAACGAGCTGGGATCTTGAGTCTTAGAGAAGCAAAAACACATGACGGAGGTCAAAGCAGCAAGGAGTCGCAGGTCAAAGCAACAGAGTGAGTCTGGAGTGGATCAGCTGCCAGGTGTGTGGGGTCCAAATAACATTGACTATCATTCATGTCACGAAATCCCGATCAACGGCTCAGAGGAAAACACTTCAGACTGCATGTGGCATGTTGAGTCTGCCTGCTTTAGGCTTTAGTGAAACCAGCTGTCCATGGAGGTGTCAACATATATGTTCACCTCTGGGGCGGGACACATGTATTCTGCCGCCCAATTCGACCGGAATTCCACTGGTGACCCGTCGACCCTGGCCGTTAGCGACCGGCGTCGAATGCAGAACTCGATGCGGTTTTTCAGGATCGAGGCCTCTCCCCTTCAAAAAGGAAAACAACACGTTCTGATCCAGGTCGTTCAGGGTCCAGTGGGTCGAACATGGATGTTTGACGCGGGTCGACTTATTTCGAAGATGCGCCTTCGACCTTCGACATCATTCGACCTAAATCGTTCGTACCTTCGGGCTTCGGACCTTCGTACCTTCGTCTGGCGGGCCCGAGTGCAGCCCGCATCCGAGCCCGCTTCCTTCGCCCGCGGAGTCCGGAAACGTTTCCTCCAGGCCGAGTCTCAAGGAACGGTTCAAGCAACAGACGTGATACTCGTGCAGCAATCGATTGGGCCTTCGTGGTGGATCCTCGCACACAGGCATCGTCCAAGAGAAGTAGGATGGAGCACCTGGACGATGAGGCTCTGGGTGTTGGACCGGGCTCCAGATTTTGAGACCCATCACCGTGTTCCGGAAATGCCGGGCTCTGGCAAAGTCATCCCTTTATTAGGGCTCCTGTCCCACATCCTCAGGAGGTAGGGCAGGTAGGGAGAGTGTCCCCTGACCACCCTCGTTTCGGATGTGGGACAGGAGCCCAAACGGGCACGGCAAACATGAACTCCCAGTGGTTTCATGTCCAGGTGGCTGTGGGAGGGCGGCTTATGTGACTCAACCACCCACTCCTGGTGGACTTTGAAGATCCCCTTATTTAGTCCATTGATTTGAGCAACTCGACTGTTTCAAGTCTTCCAACGACAGCACAGCTAGAGCAAGCTTCAGAGCGCTGGTAAAACCTACATGTAGGGGGCCCTCCTAGACTAGAGCGCTGGTAAAACCTTTTCTACGTGAAAAAGGACCGACCTGGGCAGTGAAGAGCTGTTGATGTTCACGGATGTTCTGCCAGTTCACCCTAAGGGGGGGATCAAGGTCGGCGCTACAGTCGCTGGATGATCTGGACTGCAGTCGCTCGTATGGCCGGAATTCTCCACCTAGCCACATCAACCTTGTGCTTTCGACCCTGGTGCGGTCTCGCAGTGAGCAGTGGGTAGCAGTGGGTCGCGTCACCATGTTTAACCTCCCATCTACAGCCCCCAAAAATATCAATGGCATGATGAACGGCTATCATTTGGGGAGTGGAAGACACCAGCAATCCTCTTATGGCACAGCGGCTCTCAGCGGATGCTGTCTCCTTCTCCTCTTCAGATTGCTCAGATGGCAGAGGGCCCTGGAAGTCGGCGTAGAGCAACGGCTGATCACCTCCAAACAGTTTTGAAGGCTGCTGTCCGGCCCCAATCTACACACAGGTTCCCAGAAACTACCCAAGTTTGCTACACATTCGCTGGATGGCAAAACCTCTCCGCAATCCCATCTGGCGCATGATCTTCTCATCCCAAAAAGACCACGATGTCTCGCCGACAACATAGAAGAAAAGCCTTCCCTTGGCCATCTCCTTGTGCCATCCCCTTTCATCCATTCCCTTGTGCCTGTAATCTCCTCCAACTTGCAAGACATTCCAAGCTGCGGCTGTCTGATCTCGGCTTCAGGGCGCCTCGTTATTCGTCAGTCCCGCTGCTGCATGGGTTAGGAACGCGTCCACACGGACACCCCCCCCACCCCCCCTGGCCCCCCAAACAAACACACAAGAAAAAACCGAGAAAGCAAACCGAAAACAAACACATATACCAAAACCCATCACCTTGCATGGTCTTGCCCGTTTTCGGGAAAGCACACGGATCTCTCGTGCCCCGCGACATCTACATGCTAGCTCCGTCGAAACTTGACCGGTCAAGGGCTATGCCTGCGTACTACTCCCTGACAAGGGTTAAACCAGTTCTATGTACCCCAAACCTCCAGAGTAAAAGAGACAGGTGAATAAAGAAAGGCTGCTTGCACTCGTTTCCGTACTTGGAGAATCTTGGACGGCCGCTATTGATGTTGTATGCACTCTCTCCCGCACAAGCCCATCGCTCCCTCCCCCTCCCGCCGACCAAGTGGCCAGGGACAGGGAGGAAGAGTTCCGAGCTGCAACTTCATGCCGTCGCTCACGAGTCCGGAGTGCTCTTTCCCTCCGTCTCACGGCAACAGCAGAGTGACTTCTTCTCCCAGAAGCTCGAGCCAACATGCTCCGTCTCATTCCGCTCGGAGCTCGAACTTGCACACGCTTGGAATGCCTTCGACACTCTTTTCATGGCCCCGATGTAAAGGACGGCTGTGGAACCCTGGGGAAATGGATTCATCAAACGCCCCCATACGAAAAGGTTTTGCACTCCAAGTGGGGTGCATTTTTATAAACGATCCAAAACGCCAAACAGTCCCGCATATGTTGACAAGTGGAAGCGAAAGTGAAACCCACATGCCACGGCTTGGGACATTCCCTTTTCAATGTAGTTTCACGCATCCAAAAGTGAATCTGCCCTCACCGACCGCTCTTGATTTATTGCACATTCCTACCATGCCTGGAATCCAAGTCGACATTGCATTTGTTTTTCAAATTCTGTTTTTTGTGGTGAGCCTCCCGCAGTTTTGACCATATTCAGCAAATTCTTCAAACAGTTAGAGACTGACCCGACCCGTTTGCACACTTTCTGCGAGGAAGCGCTCTGTTGTTGCCTCCTTTGACATATCCAGATCTGAAATTGGAGTGAGGAAAAACAATGAGCTGAATGTTTGAGGCTCAATTGTCTGAAAATGTCTGAAATGCATTGAAATACAAGCCACAAACATACGTGAATGTGGCAATCAACCGGCCAATCAACCAACCAACCAACCAACCAAAGTGAGGACAAGATAAACATTCAGGACAAGATAAACGTTTGTCTGTCATCTTGCACAAGCTCACTGATTGAAAGCCACCACTAGTTTCTCATATCAAACATATTCAAGAATCAAGCTCTAATGCCGTGCGACATCGTGCAACCCATCTTGCATACTGACGTGCAAAAGCTTCCAAAACACCTCAATCGTCGTGAACATATCAACACATGAACTGTAGTAGGCTCTAATCCAGAATACAGAAAACTACGTCCTATTCCAAGCTCCAAAACACAAACTCAGCAACAAAACAGTATCTTACTTTCGTCCCTGAACTCACAGCAAATCTCCAGGCAGCATTTGTGAAGGCTCCCTATCCCTTCACTGCTTAACTGAGCATGAGTAACCCGCTTCTAACTCCCAGTCCAGGTGTCCATCTACAACTTGAGCTACTTTCTGTCTGTTCACTGTTCACCCACAAAATTATACAATCCAAAATGATGAGACATGTTGAAAAGCACCCAAGCATCGCATCGCATCCCCAAAAAATAGCCGCACCGATCGCCGCACCCATCGCCTCCAAGGTGGTCTCCCAGATCTTGTGCCCAGGCAGCACCACTCGGGTCTCCATGAGCTGTGGCAAAACACCTCGACGACGGTGCGGCTGCGCGAGAGATTGGTCACAACGGACAACAACACAGCAATTCTTTTGCTTGGGGGGGAACTAGTGAAGATTGAACAAATAAAATGAACTACTAAAGGGGAACTACTATTAAAGGAATGAACAAATCTAAAGGAATGTCAAAAGAAATTGTGTGTCATCACGGCATGTTTCATCATTTGTTCCATCTCGGTGAGGTTCTTTTCGGCATGACCGTCATCCATCCGGGCCTGATACATCAGCGGTACGGCGGCACGGCGGCAGGGGTGACTTTTGGAGTTGCCAGGGACTGACAGTCTGCATGGGTGAAGCCAGCCAGTCGGCAAGCAAAGCTGGGAGGAAACAACATGCTTGTCGTGGGGTCATCTTGGCCAACGGAGCTGTATCAGTTGCCACCAGTGTGACCCAATGTCCTAAAACGAAACAAATCCTCTTCCAATCGTCCACCATTCTCCGGTGATCAAAATGGCGGTGATGACTGCGATCAATGTAGAGAGATCCCCTAGCATCTCTCTCTCTCTCTCTCTCTACTTTGCAAGCATCAAATGCATCGAAATCTGTCGAGCAATGGCCGATACACCAAGACCCCAAGCCACTCCTTTACAGACAGTGCTTGGGCTGGTCCCTTTCCAACAAACACGGACGCAACCCGCCGAAGCACTTAAGAACTTGCTGTCAAAGCCATGGAAGAGGGGCAAGGAGACGATGACTTGTTCCTCACGTGGTGCTCCCACGCGGGATCGAACTATCGTGAGACACATCGAATCACGCGACGAATGCGGTGGATTGACTGATGCCGATGGATGACTGCGGATGAATGGGTCGATGAGGTCGCGTCTTCGGCGCCCCCTGCGGCCCTGAGTCGAGTGTGGTTCCAAGTGGTGCAGCATTTCTGAACCATCAGCAGTTGGAAAGAAAACACAATAGTGTCTACTCCGAGGTATTCTTGTCTTTCTGGGAAGGACGAATAGAAGCAACTGCAACAAGAAGATGAATTTGCAGCTTTGAGATGCGGAAGGAAACCGAGACATCCACAAAGAACACAGGCGGAGTAACAGGTAGAGTAAGAATGCAGGTTTATTGATTTACAAAAACACATTAAACAAACTACAGGGACGTAGAAAACCGAAGCAAAAACAATTGATCCGCTAAGAGCTGAAAAGGAGACCCAGATTCCAAATCCTTGTCCAACACAGGTTCTGGAAATCGTCCCGAAACCCTTCCATCCGGTCCATTCGGTTCCGGCTTGCAACGGCGCTTTCCGGCCGGTCCTCGCGCCAGGGGCCTTCCAGCAGAAATGCTAAGCGTTGGCACTCCAAGCCTGCGAAGGTGTCTGGCAAATGAACCGCCCATGTTGGGCGTTCATGTGTGGTTCCCAGGTGTTTTGGTCACTGTTACTCTCCAGAAGATCGCCATGGGGCTGTCTAGCGGTAGCGATCAATCATGACTTTCAATAGAACCATGGCCAAGAACACCCTAACACCCTGTGAGATTGCACGCATCAACCTCACCCAACATGATATCCTCGAACCTCACCCATCATAAGAAGGAGTCCCTGAACCCTCCAAATGCCACATCGGCTCAAGTCAAGTAAACACATACACCGTCACAAAAACAACTCTGGACATACTAAACATATATACTAATACTGAGTAAAGCAACACTTCTGCCACATGTGGCGTGATTGTTCTCCACAAAAAGGATCCCCTTCGCTAGAAATCCCCTTCTCTCCGCCTGGATCTTCCAACGACCAACAAATTCTGGTAGTTTTGGTTGACCTCGTTTTCTGCGCAAACACCCGCAAATCAGCGTAACCGACAAAACGACCGCAAATTAGCGCAAAACGCAGGCAAACAAAAACAGCAAACGACCACAAAAAAATGCAAAATAATGCAAAACAAACAAAATGACCGTCAAACCAACACGACCAGAATTGTTTTAGTTGGAAGGTCCAGGCGGGTGTTGTCTCCTCGCTCCCTCTCTTCCTGTTTCGCGCCCCGATGGTCGTGGCCTTCCTCGGAGGAGCTCGGGGGTTTCGCGTCCTTGACCTCGTAAGGCTTCGGGGGTCCCGGAGAGGTGGCGCCATCGTCGCCATGTGCGATGTCCCCATTGTTCGGGGGGGGCGTCTTCGGCGAAGATTGGACACCAGTTGACAGGGCTCGAGGCGAAGGCGAACGGGCGAATTCGGGCAGTGCATGATCCATGATCGGGCGAGCCCGTCCAGCGCTTTTAAAGGTCAAAAGGTAACTCATTTTGACATAGTACAGCCTACAGGATCATACTATATCATCCATGACGGATGTAAGAGTTAAGAACCTGACACAACTTTGCACAACAAGGCGCTCATGATCACTTGAAATTTCTCAGACAGGGGCGCTTGGCGCCCCTTGCTTCATCTTCTCATGCCAGATGGGAATCTGAAGCAGCTGCTCGAGTTGCCGGTGAAGAGGTACGACATAGGTAGCCAAGTCTGCTTCCCACGGGAGAATTGGAACAATTATGGAACATAGGAGATTTCAACATGATGGCTCCAAAGCCAGTTGCTTCTGATTCAGAAGCAGCTAGCTTTGGAACCATCATGTGTCAAAGTTCCTGTGTTCCAACACGTTCCGATGCTCCTGGTGCTTTTTTTTAAGGCCCGCAGCTAGGCCAAGGCAGCTGTCCAAAAGATTCGAAAGCATGCCATGTTCTTGGTCACCTTTGGAACAGCAGGCGGGAGGGAAAAGCCAATAAGCTCACGAGCTGAACCACTTGAATCCTCCCACCTCATGGTTCAGAACAAAGGATCGGTCTTGTTTTCGTTGGGACGATCCGGTGGTGCAGGGGCCAGTCTAGCCACTGGCCGCTTGGAATCTCGAATAAGCCGAGTTACATGGCCACCTCAAAGGGTATAGTAAGTAGATCTATAGTAGTGCAGGTTTTAAACACCGCGCTCTTGAAGTGTGCCTTCCCAAAACGCATGAACACGATGCGAGCAGGCCGTCACACCGAGGCCCGAGGCCCGAGAGTCTCAACGACGGATCCTGCGCTGGGTCGCCCTGGCCATGGTCAAGAAGGGCCGACGGTGGAGGATGATGACGTCGCAGAAGCTCAAACAACAAAGGCTGTACCTGGCGTTGCTTTTGCTTTTGAACCAAATCAAACAAGCACGACCTGGCGTTGTTTGTGCTCTCATGGAGAGTGGCATATTGAACATGTGAGGGACAAAACACAGTTTAAGGCACAATGCGTGAAACCATATATACGTTTTCTCCCGCACCCGTGAGTTCCGAAAAACAACAAATTGCTCAGATCTGCCTGAGGCCGTGCATTTCGCCTCAGCGACAGGACAGATCAGTTTCTCGATGGCATGGCGATGGCGCCCAGTCCAGAGACTCCAAGGGTCCCCCGGAGAGTCCATTCGAGATCCTTAGGGGTCAAAAGGTAGCCCAAATGAGCTCCAATTGATTCCATCAAACAGAGGTTCTAACCGGGTACTTCTGTGGGTATCTGCGTTGGTATTGGATGCAGTTGTCCAAACATCATGGGGAGCTTCTTTCCGTCTTTTGGTTCACCACCTGCTGCGTCTCGATCAATGGCCTCCACTTGTGCGTGACCTTCATCAACATTTCCTCGCCCACGACCTCCCAGAAAACGGAGGATGACCCAAGAGGCTCATCCGAAAGAGGAAGAAGTGACCAGCTTTCCAAAAAATAATCAATCTTCAAGTTGTCTTCCAACAAACCAACGCATTGATTCATTAAAAACTAATAAGTACATGAGGACCTCATGAGGTTGAGATCCTTCTTTTGGTGCTCGGTTTCCTTCTTTTAATATGAACTGTGCAAGTTTTTGGGCCCGCCAAGCGCCCAAGAAATCTCAGGTCCGGTGGCGCTCGAACGTCGAGTCATCATGCTCGACAATCGACGTGACATATCTACTCATGGGAGTACTCATGGGATCTCATAGGTGTGTAGTTATGGAGAGGGGAGATCATAGGTGACTGGTCTATTTTCCTTCTTCCGGAGGG